TTGTAACTCAGTGAATAACAATTAAAGAATCATCTGTGAAACGTGTGTAGTATCTACAACTAAAACTGTGTGTGTGTATATATACAGTGGGGGAAATAAGTATTTGAGCCCTTGCTGATTTTGCAGGTTTGCCCACTTACAAAGAATACTTATTTTTCCTCATCAGATGGTTATCAATTTTTATCAATTCATATGATGTGATTTTCTGGAATTTTCTTTGGGATTCTGTCTTTCCCTGTTAGAATGTAAATATGATTAAAGTTATAGATCGTTGCATTCTTTGTAAGTGGGCAAACCTGCAAAATCAGCAAGGGGTCAAATATATATATAGTAACATATAAATCTGTGTGTGTATACACATAACAATGAAAAAACAATGAAATGCAATGAAAAAGCAATAGATGTGGAAAAGACGTCCTGAATATTGTCCAAAGACAGATCCTGGCATGTTTGACCCCAGTGTCTCTAAAGGAAAACACCAGTTGTTCAACAGCTTTGGCAGCTAATTAAATTCATGCATGCATTCTTATTGTCATAAAATGGTTGTAGATTTGGTCTGCACTACTCCCTGCTGATTAAACCTCTCCGTGTATGAATCAGTGTCTCAGTTTGCAGTAGAGGAGTACGAGGCTTTGCAGGACACCTTGAACATGGAGCAAGATCTTAGGACAGAAGCGGAGACCTTTGCCCGAGCGGTAAGATTAGTTTCTGATTAGTTTTGCCCACTGAATCTGTCCCGGCTCCTTTCACAGCCCCCTCATGTATGTTTATGTTTATGTTTCTGCATTTGGCAGACGCTTTTATCCAAAGCGACTTACAGAGTAGACCCAATATTCCATTTCTCATCACTATGACAATAAGCTATCCAGAGGAGAAACCCTGATCAGAGTCAGTGGTGAGATAGAGATAGAGGTAGAGGGACTACAGAAGGAGCTGTGGGGGGTAGAGGTACGGGTTAGGGTTAGGATAGGAGCTGTGGGGGGTAGAGGTACGGGTTAGGGTTAGGATAGGAGCTGTTGGGGGTAGA